TGAAGTATTGTAGAGGCTGGAGATCCAAAATAAAAAATGAAAGTGCAGAGAAACTCAACATCTGTGGAGACAGGAACAAAGCTAATGTTTCGAGTCCAGTATGATTCACCACTCTTTTTTGGAACTCTGAAGATCTGAAGAAGTCATAACTAGACTGAAAACATTAATTTTATTTTTCCCTCTCCAAATGCTGCCAAACCTGTTGGGTTTTTCCAGGATTTTCAGTTTTTATTGCTGAAATAATTTACTTCAGTTCACTTACAACTTATTATATTCTGCTGCTGTGTTTCAAAAAGGTTTCAAGCTTCCATGACATTAAATGACAGTACGGCGAAAATAGTTAGTCTTCTCAAAATCCTCTTGTGCTGAAGGAATTCAATCAGGTAGCTAACAATTTCATTCTTTACTCTTATCACAAGTTTTTGTTAAGCAAAGTATAATAGGAGATACTTAGATGCGGCAAATGTTTGACAATTGTGAAATCTGCCTTATCTTGTAAGCTTTTTTGAGTGAACATATGGAAGAAATGCCTTCTGGTTTGAACAGGTACAATGAAGTAGCTGCTATATCACAAGGTAATGGAAAGCTATCTGTAAAATTTTGAGACAATTCAAGAAATAATGCCTCTTCTCCCATTCTGGCATACTATCGTGTAATAGAAAGTGCATTCATCTTTTACAGAACTGCAAACACTTTGCTTTCCATTGTTTTTCCTTTATATTGCTATTTCAGACTCTTCAAAGGCTCACTGGATTGTCTCACATCAGTCCACTCTTGCATGGTGCTCTGTAGAGCCTGGGTCCTCTCCTTATCCACTTGTACGTAGTCTACTTTTTCATCTGATGTCACTGAGGATGTGGAAGGCTGATTCAAAATAGGACATAGATTTGAATGAGTTTGTTCCATCATCACAAATTAACACTGGAATTGGTTGTAATGTCTACATTTGACATGCACATATATAGGATAACTTTGTTAATTTTTGATGGCCACCTACATTGGTTTTGTATTGAAGTAGCCAGTCTTAACTTTCACTAAGTCTGGACAATTTAGATCAGTGGAAGTGCACAAGAGTAAAACTGGCAAGGGAATGAGAATAAAAAAGAGAAGCTGAGCTAAATTTGAGTCATAGAGGTTTACAGTATGGAAATAGGCCCTTCAGCCCAACTTATCCATGCCACCCAGTTTTCACAATTAATCTAGTCCCATTGGCCTGCATTTGACCCATATCTCTCCATACCTATCCCATCCATGTACCTGTTCTAATGCTTCTCTTGTGTCAAAATTGTACTCGACTCTACAACTACCTCTGGCAACCTGCTCCAAACACCCCCCCACCCTCTGTGTGAAAAAAATTGTCTGTCTGGATCCTTTTATTTCTGTTCCCCTCTCACCTTAAACCTATGCTCTCTAGTTTTAGATTCCCCTACTATGGGGAAAAGCAGTTGGCTATCTACCTTATGCCTCTCATGATTTCACAGATAAGGTCACCCCTCAGTCTCCTACACTCCAGGGAAAAAGTCCCAGCCTATCTAGACTCTCCTTATAACTCAAATTTTCCAGTCCAGGTGGCATCCCAGTAAATATTTTCTGTTTTCTTTCTAGGTTAATAATATCCTTTCTATAGAAGGGTGACCAGAACTGCCAGCAGTACTCCAAATGTGGCCTTACCAATATCATGTACAGCTGCAACAGGACATCCCAGCTCCTATACTCAATTGTATAATAATTGTGTAGTGCTTAATCCAACATATTTAAATCCAGAGAACATTTACCATCAAAGCAGAAACAAATGATCTAAAATAGACAAACTATGGATTTTACCTTTCGATGAGGACCAGGAGAGCTAGGCTGAAAATCTAAAGATAAATAATCCACACTCCCAGTCTTCCTTGCACCAGGGCTGCCAGTCACAGCATTCATTGGAGAGGTAGAAATTGGATTCTGCTGTTTTGAAGTAAATGGAATAAAAAGATAAATGCTTCCTATCATAATGATGGCAGATTAACTGATCTTAGTTTCAACAAGAACATCCTGAATTCAACATGCAGCTGTAAAATTCTTTGGTATATTCTGAAGTTATAGAAAGGCACAGGATACAGGTTGACCTTTATCACTTCTGTGAAGAGAGTCAATAAAGCTATTTTTGGCAGGCCAAACACTGAAGCACCCTGTACATCTGGATCATTGTGAAGTCATCCCAGTTTCAGTAAATGAAGAATTGAAATGGTACTTCTTGTGACACAGCACACTGGTACACCAAGACACTGGGGACAACAACTGCAACTTTGATTGCCATGGTGTGTTAGCCTTGGGAGCCCTGTATAGTTGAGAGGCTCACTGATTCGCACAAAAACTGATGCGGTTAGTTAGTGGAGAGATTCCCACCTACACACTGCCTAGTAGGTCTCAAGTCTTGTGATGACAGGGACTGAAGAAGATGCCCCATTCCTGCTCTTTATGAATGAGGATCTCCAAGTGTGAAGGTAGTAAAGTTTCAAAATCAAACTAGAATAACAAGCTTTCTTGTGCTAAATGTACCATTGGATATACTTGCATCCTTGAATGAAAATATGCACTTCAGCATAATAAATCATTTACATTGTGTGAGATTGGCTTGTTGGGTCAACTGATTTTTTTCATGGTTGTCATTTTGTATGTTAATATAACCAAATTAAGGCTGTATCCTATTTCTGCTTAGTTTGCAACTTACAACTGATCTCCTGGAGCATCATGTTTTCAATTACTTACCATTGGAACGTAATTTTCCTCACTGTCTCCTGAGTCGGTGCTGGTGACACTTTGTGTTGATAATGGACGGCAATTTTGTGAAGAAACGGGGTTTACAGCAGCTCTAGAAGCAATAAAATACAATCTTCTTTCAAGAACTAAAACACTAACAATGAGTCACAAAAATGTTATGGTCCAGGAGGAGGCCATTTGGCCCATCCTGTCTGCAATCGTAATCCAACCAGCATTCTGACTTGGTGTTATTCTACCACCCTTCCCCCATACATATCCTTGCACATTGTTTCTCTTCAAATAACATCTAATGCCCCCATTGAATGCCTCAACTGAACCAGCCTCCATCACATCCTCTGAGCAAAGACTTTGCATATTACTGAAAAGTTACGTCGCACCATCAAAAACACATGGGTCATAACACCAATGTTGCAGCGCACTGAATCCACATCAAATTTCCCATACATTTTTAATGGTCTTTACACAACCACACATGACAGAAGGAATGTACTTCTGCGAAAGGGAGGAAGAAGTCATTGGGCGAATCTTGTCCTAGAAGATACAGTTCTCTATCCAAAATACATTAAAATAAACATGATGATCTATTCAAAATCTCTCAAAGGGAATTCATCATTTTTGTACAGCTGCCATCATTCTGCAGGCAGAAGAAAGTAGGGGATAAAATTGGTCTAAGTCTGTAGTTCTGAGTGAGCTCATGACAAACAGACAGCTGACTTTTTTCGCCACATCAGCTCCTTCCGTTGAAGTTCAAATTCTTAGCAATTCCAAATCAGTGGAAAATAAAAACTGCTGAGAAGTTGGCTACTGATTCACTACAAACTTATTCTGTGTTGCTAGCTGGGAACAGTTTTACTCCCCAAAGGTTTACTTGTTTCAGAAGCAACTTTCAACGGTCTTCTGGATTTATTTTTAAAAGACACTTACATGGGCCTGGACCAAGATCTGGTTACAGGAGACTTGAAGGGAAGCTCATCAATAAATGTGTGATTTCGTGATTCCACAGTTCCTGCTTTGGCTGAAATATAAACCATAATTACACAATTGCCAAGTATGATATAATTAAACATTGTTAACACAAACCTTTTCAAAATGGCCGACTTTCTGTCTAAATGAAATGTTCTGCAAACACCTTGCAGAAAGGCCAATCACTGGAAAAATGTGCGGAACCGAGGATTAGGGTGATAGAGGAGTGACCGCAACCAGATCAACACATTGATAGGTAGGAAAAGAAGCCAAACCATGCATGCATCACAGGAGTCTAGACAAAGGTGTTGGTGATTTTAACAACACAATACACTATAGGAACAATATAATCCCTCTTTATAGTTTGATCATGATCTTTGGGATCCTGACAAACTCTTGGCCATCCACTTGGCCTCTCTCTCACCATGACGGAACTTATCCAATCTATAGACTTTGTGATTTTAGTAATCACTTTCTTGCCTTCTGTCCTTTCGCGCTCTCATTCAAGCTTTCCTTTTGATTCCATTGGTATTTTACATGGAGATTTAATCAAAGCCTTCTTTGCTGGGTGAATAGTGATATAATATTCAACATCTTCAAAGTATCCAACTGTCTCATTGAAACACTGAGTATATTTGCACCAGATCTTCTCTCCATATGATTGGAAGGTGCTTTTTCAATGGGTGTATTAAACAACAGCATAAAATGTCCAGAACTGACAGTTCAGGGAAAAGAAATTCAAACAACCAGTGATATTAGGAAAAGTAATCAGCCTACAATTATAAATCTGAAGGTAAATAAATATACTGGAGCACAGGATAACATCATCCTATACTTGAAGGTCTTTTCTGAAAACTGGGAATAAAATGGCTATCCAAGGAAAGGGGCTCTGGAAGCACTCAATACCATGCTAACAGGATACAGGGGAATTGTGATTCAACCCAAATCAGAGGGTCACACAGTGTATGTTCTACCTCGTAGAAACAGAGGTCCTGCTATGATGAAGTTGAGCAGTTGTGAAGAGCTGCAGATTGAACCATGAGGTGAAAGAAGTGACCATGAGCATTAAAGGATAGTGCAACAGCTGGAGTGATCATAGAATCCATACAATGTAGAAACAGGCTCTTCAGCCCAACAAGTCCACACCGACCCTCAGAGCATCCCACCTAGACCTATCCCCCAAAATCTCACCTAAGCTACACATCCCTGAACACTACAGGCAATTTAGCATGGCCAATCCACCTAGCCTGCACATCTTTGGACTGTGGGAGGAAACTGAAGCACCCAGAGGAAACCCACACAGACACAGAGAGAATATGAAAACTCCACACAGACAGTTGCCTGAGGGTGGAATCGAACCCAGGTCCCTGGTGCCGCGAGTCAGCAGTGCTAACCACTGAGCCACCAAGCCCATGTACACTGTTGCCTGTGTGATGTGCTACAAATCCACAAAGGCCAAAAGAACAACAAAAGCCAAATCTGTAAGATTGTGGAACAACATCTTACTACCTAAGTGATACCAAGAAAAACATAAGCTCCAAATATTCTAAAAAAGGGGCTCAGTTTATTTCCAAAACAAAGAGTTAATTTGTAATTTTCCCACAGTTTAGGAAAGCCATTGACTGGAGCAGTTATAATGATAAGCACACGACTTCAAAACAAATAGGGATATTACATATTGTTGGATTAGTTGTAAAGAACTAGGAATTTAGCTGAGAACCAATTGTATGTGTACTTTTCCAGTGGCAACATTCATCCTGTTCTGGGCAGTCAGCTACTGTGTAACACAGATCGGGCTTAAGCAGTCTGCTAGTCAGGCAGCATAACAGTTGTACTAAACACAAAGAGTTCTCAGCTTCCAAGCCTAAAGTGTGATTATGTCAAATATATGAGAACTAGAATACAATCAGAACGCATATCAGTAGCAATTTTTGATTAGGCATTGTTTAATTGTTCAATCTCAAGGGCAGCAGGTTCAGTTCTTGCTGTGCTCAATCTAGTCTAATTTCTCCAAGAACTCAAAAACAACAGTTGGGACCCTTCATTTTATATGCAAGAGGTCTGACATCTCTTTTAGGCAGTTGTGTGGGACACTTACAAAGCTTCATTGGCAATATGCTCCCATTTTTCATCTGGATCAATTTCAATCTCTTAATGTCTTGGTCAGGAATTAAAGCAACTGTCTATCACATTGTTCAGTCATCTAGCACTGGTTGTCAATATGTAATTTTTATGCTATTTGCTCGTTTTGAAAAATAGTTCATTCTTTTTTAAACCACAAATTCATGTAAGATCAGAGGCTGAAATCTCTACAGTGAGTACTCACTTTCGGACTCCTCAAAGACTTACCACCACCTACAATGCACAGGACAGGAGAGTGATGGAATAACCTCTGCTTGCCTGGAAGAGTGCAGCTCCAACTACACTTAGGAAGCTTGACACCATCCAGGACACAGCAGCCCACTTGATCAACACTCCATCTGCCACAGATATTTAACATTCTCTCCCTCCACTACTGCAGCATACTGACGACAATAGCTACAAGATGCACTACAGCAACTCACTATGACTTCTCGACCACATTGTCCAAACATACAATATCTGGTACCCAGAAGGACAAGGGCAGCAGATACATGGGAACACCACCACCTGCAAGCTCCCCTCCAAGCCACCCAACAAACATCATCAAACCTTAGCTGGCATTGGGTCAAAAACACAGTACTCCTTTGCAAAAAGCACTGTGGGTGTACCTACACCATGTGGACTGCAGCAACTCAAGAACGTAGTTCATCACCACCTTCTCAACTGCAATTAGTGATGGGAAAGTATTGTTGGCTTGGGAATGTTGGTGATATTAACAGATCAATCATACTTGCAATGCATTTGGTTTGCATTCCTTGATTTTCTATTTTAACCACAGTGTTAATACATTTGTTATAAACTACTATCTTTTATAATTAGTCGATGAAAAAATTTGAACAGTTGCCAGCTGATATTGCCGACATAAATTTCTGGCACTTCAACTGATTATTGCTATAGATATAAACAGGGCTGTAGATTATACATTGAAACATTATAGTAATTTGGGAGGTGCTCAATGCATTAGAGCTGATATAGAAATTACTGCTACAGAAGTTTAATATAGTTCAGTACTTATAACATATCAAAGGAGTGGGCTCTTACTTCATACAGTGCAAATACTTGGAATCGAGAACGACGCAATTATGTGATAATGCAAATTCATAATTCAACATAACAAACAATATACCACAGATGGTGCACACATAAGGGGAAAAGTTTTTACCTTTAAAATTCCAGCTAGATATCTTGCCTGTTAGCAGTTTGCATTTGTGACCTTAGTGCACAGTGCGCAATATCTTTAGCCATTATCTTAAATAGTCTTCTGCCACACATACCTGAATTTCTCACGCAGGCTTCCAGCTGGCAAGGTCTCCAGCAACAGCACAAAGTCAGAAATTACCCTCATAATGGAGGAGAGGTCAGAAAAGCTGCCCTCAATATCAATCACATATGCTACCAGGAACCATAGTAAAACTATGCTCTATTGAAAGAATTAATCTCAGCGGGTGGAATTACACTGGGCAAACAGCAGGAAGTTGTTATTATCAGTTGATCATTATTGTGCTCATTGGTGCCAGGTAAAGAAGAAAGCTCCCAACCACATCCTTGATTCTTGCAGAGTCCCAAATAACTGATATCTTTGGATCTCCATTGATTGAAAGTAACTTAATATGATCCAGTAGATCAATAAAATGTTTGCAGCAATAAGGCACAGGCTGAATCCTCTGTGGGAAATTACTCACTTTATGAGATCTATACTGTCTATTAGCAGCGTCAGGAGTTTGATTGAATGCTCATTATTGACCTGAATGAGTACAACACTCAAGTAATTCAGTATCATCCAGGAGAGAGCAATTCCCTTGTCTGTATCCTTGTTACAGATTCCAATACCATTCTGTACACCACTAGTGTGTGAAAATATATTATCTCCAGGTGAATTAACATAATTTGTGAATAGTTCTTAAATCACATGGCCTTTGCTGTGAGATTATGGGGTATCAAACTCCAAAGTTATTGCTCTTTCATTTAAAAGTCTTGGAATGCCCTAATTGATGTCATGCCACCATGGTATGGCACAGCATGGTGTATCGACTGAAAATCAAGGCTAGCCTTACCATTAGGCAACTAAAGATGAGCAATTAATATAGCATTGTCAGTGACAGTCACATCTTGATTTTTAAAAAAAAAATTCCTTTTTGAACACTGTAGCAGTCAAAAGCCAAAATCAAAATACTGTAACTGTTAGAAATGTGAAATGGAAACAACATAAAATAATCAGTAGAGTTAACTGGAGCCGAAACATTAACTCTGATTTTTTCCTTCACAGCTGCTGCCAGACCGGCTGAACTTTTCCAGCAACTTCTGTTTCTGTTCCTGATTTACAGCATCCGCAGTTCTTTTAGTTTTTATTTAAAATAATCAGTAGATCGGGAAGCATCCGTGGAGAAAGGAGTTAACATTTCAGGTCATAATCTTTCATCAGAACACATGGGACTGAATGTTACAGGCGTTGGGTTGGAGTTTATAACTCACATATGCCCATCCCCACAAAAACACTTGGTCCCAAATGAACTGACACGACCTGTGTTTGCTCTGCAGCCCTAATTCTGATGGGGTGACCTTAAAGAGTTGAGAGTCGGACTTCCATTCCAAAGCAGGACAAGGTCCTGCCCTCAAGAGTTGCCAGTCTGTGTGATCAGGTGGTAGGCCAAGCAGTCTGAGCAATGGCAGAACGGACTACAAAGCAACCCATGACGATCAAGGACGGATCTGAGACCCAGGTAAGTCCCAGGCCTTTTGGGTGGGAACTATCAGGGGTCTGGACAGGGGTGGTTTCGGTGGCCAGGCAAGAATGGTGGGGTGAGGGAACAGGTACTTCAGGGTGGAATTACCCTCATGTGTTAGGACACCCTTTGAATTCCCATCTCCCTGCTCATACATTCCATTTTATGTTAGATGTAATATTTGGGTGAAATGACTTGCGACAAGTTCAATTGTCTCACTCATTATTTTTTGAAAAATGTTGGGTGGGCTGCTGATGCCAGTACCTACTGCCGACTGTTTCAATGGGACCAGGTAGGGGATTGGCAGGAAAGCTGGGGGAGGGGGCATATTTTATGTTCAAAAACAAAGTTGCTGGAAAAGCTCAGCAGGTCTGGCAGCATCTGTGGAGGAGAAAACAGAGTTAACGTTTCGGGTCTGGTGACCCTTCTTCAGAAGGTTCCACAAGATGCTGCCAGACCTGCTGAGCTTTTCCAGCAACTTTTTTTTT